GCTACAATCTCAGGTTGAAGCGTGCTCGTCACAACTGATTTTAGATTTGAGTGATCTGAATTTTGGATTGTGGATGGATCATACAAGATCCGCATGGCCGATGCTTTTTTGGACAGCAGTACTGTGAGGTGCTGTGAGTCTGGAGTTATCATGATTGATAACTTTGACTCGGTCCCGTGGCCACCGTTGCAAAATGAAATTCAAGAGACGTTCACTACTGATCGCACATGTGGAAAAAAAAGGAAAAAACTGGAAACCAATGTCTTTGCGCTTTGTTTGGGAAGATCAATTGCAATCTTTCGGAAGCTTTCATAACATTTTTTCAGTGAATTTCAACATGATCCACCTTATAATTATATTGATTGCATACTTGATACTTGACATTGACGAACATGTGTCACTACTATATATAATACATTATCAATATCCGTACCACGTACCATTGTTGATCGTACCCTGTACCTGGAGGTAGCGTACCACGTACCAGCTGACCCCATAGAGCATGATTCATGGATCTAGCTAAATATAGACTATTATGTGTCCAATGCGATGCCAGGCCTCGAGTTAGCTACTCTTTCCATGATTTGGTGCCTTGGTGCAGGGTAGATTCACATAGCCCAAGTAGCTAGAATTTTTCGCTGGGGACTTGGAAACTTGAATTCAAAGGTTCCTGCTATCCTCAACCATTCAAGCTTTCAAGCTTGGATAGCATCAGAACACAGGTTGGTGCAAAGTGCAAACAGGATGCTTTTGATATTTTTTGATGGCTTGCAAAGATGCATTGGCCCTTCTGCTTTCGGAAGTCTCTGCAGCGCTCCAAGGTAAAACTTGAAAAATCTGAAAACGTGGAACTCCACCGGCAGCATTCCGACGGCTTGGAAGCTCAGTGAAGTGCAGTGAGGGCCCATGACCCAGTGATCCTGCTTTGCCCAAACTGCCCAGCTGTAAGGCCTCAAAGCGAGTGGGAGCCACAGGCAGGGCACTTTCTGGGCAGCTGCTGATGGCGTGACATCGTGGCAACATCACCATTGGGGTGCAAAGTTCTTCAATCTTTTCATTCTTTGCAGACATCAATGGCGCCTTTTCTTTCACAACCGGTACATCAAACCATCCCTACAATGGGCAAAAATCGGCCAACATCGGCAAAAAGGCAAAGAGGTTAAATGTCGATGGAACATATTGAAAATATTGAAACTCGTTTGAAACTCGGCAAGTGGAAGGGCCGCAGGGAGGGCAGGGTGATCTTTGGCTCCCAGGAGCTGCTCTGGTCAAAGGTCAAATCATAGCAGACCAGGGAATGGTGCCTGGCCGCGAGGAGCACTGGCGTTTGGGAGTTGCGCTCTGGACATGGTGACGAACAGCTTTAAGTTGGCATTCATTGTGTGTATGTGCAGAGACATGTAGTCAATGCATGTTACGTTGCATGTTGTGTGATGTTGCGTGGTGTATTGTTATGTTGCCGTGTGTTGTGTTACGTTATGTCATACTATGACATGCTGTATGATGGAAAGTTTTACTGCGGTAATAATTCATGTATACAATGTATTAATGCATACAGAAAGTGTATAGATGTATATAATGCAATGCCATGTAATGTTACGTAACCTCGCAAAATGCAATGCAACGGAGTGTTATGTTGTGGTACTTGTATGGTCTTTTTTGTGTAGATACACAATGACATGCAAACACACACACACAAACACAGATTGCCCTGTTGTCAAAAGTCACGCAACAAACAGCCTCACATTTCAGCTGTAAGATTTGCTTGTCGTGGCTTGCCAGATTACAGCCCGGGAAGACCCTCACCATCAGCCAGCTTTCGCTCTGGCAGAATGGCATCATCTGTGTGGAATCTCAGCTTCCAGTGTCTGTGTGGTCAGAGTGCTGGAGATGCTGTGGCGTTGTAAAACAAAATATGTGAGACTTTAAGACTATGGATGGTCTTGTTGCTTTCCTCCTGGTGACTTTTAGACTTTACCTGATTCCTTTTTCTGTGGATCTTAAAGCACATTTCTCTCTGTCCCTCATGCCTCTGCTGCGTCCTTAGCTCTTGTGCAACAAAGTCAAGGCTGCAGCCCAGTGTCCCTTGAACCCTCAGCCAGAACGAAACAACGAGGCTTGAGAACTACGTATATATATATAATATATAATATATAATATATATAATATATATATAATATATAATATATATATAATATATAGTATATATATATAATATAATATATATATATAATATAATATATAATATATATATAATATATAATATATATAATATATATATATATTATATATAGTTGTCTTCTGTAGTTTGCCGTGTTTCCTTTGCCCCTTTCCGGCTCTTTGTCTGTGACTCTGCACTACTGCAATCATTGATGATTCAAAGGAGCATATACTTGTGCAGATTCACTGCAGATGAAGACATTCCTTTTGCGATTCACACTGCGTTCACATGTTTTGCAAAGCTCAAAAACACGCTTTTTGGTTCTGTGTTGATGAATTCTGGGCAAATCAATGAAAGTCAAGATTTGCATACCTAGAAACATAGCTGAGAAGACAAAGCTCATTTTTTTCTTTCGATAAGTTCAGCTTCAATGCAAAGACCGCAGTCCAGGATCCAAAGCCGATTCAGAAACTATCGGCGATTCACCAGTCCAGCGTCTCACTTTGTGAGTTTAAGTACTCGAATTTAGAAGTCGATCTTGAAGCCAGCCCCAGAGACTTAGGACGTAGCAGGGGTCTGCTGACACTACTCTTCTCAATGCAGTGATTGGTAGTGGTGATTGAAGATTTTGGCATTGCAGAATCCGTTGAACAAGACTAAAACATATGACAAAATGTTTGCAGCCTCCGAGTTTCATTTTGCTACATGTTGGCACAACGCGTGCAAAATCAAGGCCTTCGACAACTGGTCTTTCCCAGATTTTATCGAGGTACCATGGAGCTGCTTTCTGATGCTGGATGTTTTTTTGACACTCTTCGGCTTGATGAAGTTTCAGAGTCTTGCCACGTCTTGCCAGAACCTTCGGCTTTGTTGAGATCAGTAGTACCAGCCAGGCCAAAGACGACGCCTCTTGCATGTCTGATCCAAACAAGGCTTGCCAGACATGAAAAGTCACGGAAGAGACATGAAGAGACAAATACAATGAAAAGAAAGTCACTTCGAAACTGGGTCTTCAAAAGCTGTTCATCTCAAAATGTTTTGAGGGCCTTCCAAGGACTGATTGAAGGACTAGGGTGTGAAGCACATTCAAATCGCCCACGCAAAGCCGTCAGCAACATTGCATGGTCTCTGTGCGAAAAGGTGAATCCTAGTTTTCCTGCAAAAGCAGGGCATGGCTTATCGACTACACACGTATTTCCGTATTTCGTATTATTTCGTCATTTTTCATAGCGTCTCAGGACGTCTCTTCTTGTCTCAGGAGAGTTCCTTGATCTTTTTCGAGAAGACAAACAGCACCTTCCACATGAAGGTGGGCTGATTGCTCAAGACCCCAAGCTCGCACCAAGCACTCCAAGCACTCCAAGCACTCCAAGCACTCCAAGCACTCCAAGCACTCCAAGCACTCCAAGCACTCCAAGCACTCCAAGCTACCAAAAAGCGTTTTGACAAGTTTTGACAAGTCGAACACAGGTCGAAGGATGTGCATTGCTTAAAAGGAACCCACGGAAACTGCCAGGTTGGCACGTCGCACTATGCTTTTTGTGTGGATCCTTGGCAGCAATTTCTGATTTGGCTTTGAGTCTCAGCAATTTGCTCCTGGATCAGATGTTTCATGGTTGGTTTGCAGCAAGTGTATGCAGCAAATTCAGCTGCGATCATCTCTTCAAAGCAAAGGATGCGCTACTGCTCTTGGTGCCAGGACCAATATGGCGGACTGGAGCACTTGCACTTCGGCCGGGGGTCCATCATTCGCCATAGCTTGCAACATCGACGTCCATCATTTGGCGGTCTAAAGAGCGCGATTTGTTTCAGTATCGTAACATGGTCAAAGTTTTCTACCTACAAATCTTGCATCAACTCGTGGCCATTTTGGATGTGTAAAGGATGCAACTTCTTTTCTTTTTCCTTGATCTCTTCTTTTCAAGGCTGAATGCGATGGTCTTATCATGTCTTATCAACTCACCACAGCAAGTCCTGTCATCTCCATGTGTTACTGAAGATGTGGAACAGCTTTGAAATCTTGCCAAAGGCAATTGGGTTGGCATGCATGTCCTTTCCTCAGCAATTCTGGGAGGGAAGAGACGTGGAGTCCTCTCTGAGGAGACCTCTCTCTGATTCTAACCTCTGTTCTCCAAGACTCCAAGACAAATATAATGCTGGCAGTGTTCATGAAAGAATCACAAGCCGAAAAATGCTGAAATCCAGCAAGGCACCCAAGCATACCCAAGCACAACAGGTGACACAACAGGCACCATCTCAAAGCAAAACGGCATGCCAAGGACTTCACGTTTCTATCAGAGACCGACCCAGCGTTGAATTTCGAACCTGCACCGGCAGCAACACCAAGAATTGACAGTCGCAGAGTCGAAGCTGTGGTGAAGTGATGTTGGAGTGGGAAGTGCACGCAATGCACGCAGCATGTTCTGAAAGTCTCCTCATTTTAGGTCTTTTGAGCTACCCTAAATATTTGGAGCTTGAAAATGCGTCGACCTTGCGATGGATCATATTGATACTTCATAAGGGAAGATGTGACCCCTTGCTACACATTGCTCGCTAGTGAAAGCTGCGAGGATTTTTGCAGCTTTTTAATTTGGCTGGCCTCAACGCAGCTTTTCATTTGTCAAGCATAGCAAGCAGAACGCCATGAAAGATGACAAACGGAATTCCAATCAGAAAGGAGCCACACCGAACACGACCGCAAGTGAAACTTTCTGCAACACTTCTGAGAGATCGCGAAGAAGGAAAATCTCTGCATCTACTCGCTTTCGTGGCTAGAGGTATCTCACTGACTCTCACCAAGATCAACGCTCCTAGAAATCTCTGCCTCAGTTTTTGAGCCATGCATCGCCAGTGCGCAGGGGTTCCAACTGCATTGAAGAATGCATTGGAAAATGGCATCTCAACTGCACTAGAGTGGCTAGGAAGCCTCAGAAGACCAATGGAGACAACCCCAAGGTACCCAGTGAATCCGTGTCGCAAGTGCTTAGTAGAGCGTTTCCAATGTACTGAATAAATGCGCTTGTTCTACTTCAGGCTCCATCTCAGAGCTTCTTGAAGACGTCCGAAACACTGTCGCGTTCTAAGTGGCCCCTTTAAGTGGCAACAGTTGAAAACTTTGGTGACATTTCGAATCACTCTAGAGCACCATGTAGTCAGCTCTAAGCCTCTGGGGAGTTGGTCGTATTGTCGCATCGTTTTCATTCCAACCTGAATCTCCAAGGTGCGACGTGTAAGTGGGCGTCTGTTCTTTCAAGATGAGGCTGAGGAGGTTGGGAGAATGCAGAAGTCCCAAAAATCCTGCTGAATCCATCAGTGTTGGTATGCAGGTCTTAGCCGACACGGCCACCTTTTTGGAGAGACTTGCTGGGAAGTTCTTTTCTTCTGAATCGCCCAGGTGACTGCAACCGATGAGGAGGGCAGGGGTTGCTTCAAGAATTCTGAGATTTTTCGGGAATCGACCTCCCACCTGCTTGCGGAGTTCCTGCCAACCTTTGATGGACAGGAGCCGGATACCCACACAGCCAGTGCCAGCAGCAGTTCGGACCCTGTTTTGCGACTCCTCTCCACACCGTGCAAATGAGAACCATTCCATTTTTCTGAGTTCATGTTCCAGCATCGAGTGTTCTTTTCCTTTACTTGAAGAGCATTTGCAAATGATACCCAATTTGCCATTTGCGTGCCAGGGTTAGACCCGTACCGGCTGACGGAGTGATTTTGATTTTGTGCAATTTAGTTTCAAAGTTAGTTATATTATGTTAATTTATGTTATATTTATATTTCACTCAGTTTCTTCGCTAAGATTTAATGTTTGCAATCCTTCATGCACAGATGGACAAAGATGGAGAAAGATGGAGAAAGATGGAGAAAGATGGAGAAAAATGGAGAAAATGCTTAATTTCCAGAAAGAAAAGGGACCTCTTCGGTGCGGCACCTCATGGACCTGGCATGTGCTGAGGTCACGCTCCTGCTGGTGGTTTGGACCTGGAGGTGCTCAACCCGGTGAAGGGACACAACTCAGAAAGATGCAAGACGTGCTTCGGGCACGAAAAACATCCGGAAATTGCTTCATCCTTCTCATCCTCCTTGGTTCTTAGTATCTCAAGCTTTCTCACTGGGTCTCAGTTGTGAGGCTTTCTGGTTAAAGATCTGAAACAGTAAGAGATTCAGAGTGGGAATCTTGATTGGACCCTGCCAGGCTGATCGCGTACCCACATGGGCAAAGAAGACAGCTGAACCAATGCCTGGGTGCCAGTGGGTTCGGTTAGGGCAGGGTCTCATGGTTCCTAGATTTGAAGATATTTGAAAGTTGTATTATATGAATCATATGTATCAAGCATATTCAAGAATGTATCAAGAATCCCGTTAAGTCGTCAGAACTGTGCTTCCTGCAATCCCTGTTAGCGCAATCTGCAACCTGCCAATGCGCCTTCAAGGCGTCCTCCAACCCTTCCCGCAGTTTCTAAAGTTAGTTGAGAATTTGAGCGTCAAGTTTCAGCAATAAGGACCAAATACATGTTCTTGGACGAGGGTGGCGACAAAGGACTTGGGCAGATGAACATTGTCGTGATTTTAACGATGGTCATAGCATTTCGTATTCCACCGGCACTTTTAGCCTCTGTACAGGCCGTTCCTTTTCTAGGTGCCACAAGCGAGATCATAATATGCATTTACTCTTAAATGAGAGGGTTGGCGTTCATAGGATTTGTCTGATATACTGTACAAGGCTGCACTTCCGTTGCAAGTTGTTCTATTCCCGATTCAAGCTGGAGATTCCATCCTGCTTTGATGAAATGCCGCGCTACCAGGAGTTGTTAAGGTTTACGCATCATAGCTGCAGCAAGAGAACTGTTGCAAAAAAGCGAATGAATGTGTCAGAAACTGTCCTCAGTTGGGATCTTGATCAAACTGTGATTGTCTTGTTGCTGGAATGAAGTGAATTACAACTTTCCTCCTGTCTGTGAGGTCAAAGCAGAGGAACTTGAACTTTCGTCCTTCAGCGATGTATATGCGAAGTTTGAGGTTCCAGCAGCTGAGAAGCACGTCCTTTTGTGATTTTGTCAAACTTTAGAGGCATTCTGATCAGGCAACGAACAAGGATCACGAGTCAATCTGAGCCTTGAGGTATGCAAGACAGCTCAGATCAGCAATGATCAGCAATAAGCTTCTTCCTTCCTTTAGTTTGTTGAAATGAAACCAGGACAGCTGGCTTAGCTAAACTTAGCTAAGCTTAGCTGGCTTGGTAGACCTTGACAGGAGCAGAGCTTCTCGTTGCTGGTGCTTTCAGATGGACGGGTCTGGCGCTTGCAAGGGCGGCTCTTTGGACCTGTCCGTGCAGAGGAGAACTGGCCCCCGTGAATGTACTGATGGCTTTGCGAGTGAAGCGTACTGAACCAAGACGTGTGAGGTAAATGATGTAAATATAAGCAAGAGATCAAGATAGACCAAGAATGTACCCGAATGTACATGCAGACTCAGCAGATCAGTTTTCAGAGTTTCCAGTTGCAATCACTTTCGCTTCAAGGGTTGCAACATGAACAACTTCTTTGTCCTAGGAGTGCAGCACCTCGTTGTCTCCATCTGGGCACAAAGCTTCCTGACTGAGAAATTTGACAACCAAGACGCAAAGAAGAGTGGCCCAAAATCAGTACACCCTGAACCCCCTGAACTTGCCCACTTCCAAAGATCTTTTGGTTGATTTGTTGAGTTCCAGTGAGGTAGTGGTGACACTACGAAAAACAGATGCAAAGATGAAGTGGCACCGACTCATCGAAAGCACCGGCACTTAGAGGGCCTAGAGGGTTGGAAGAGGAACAGTTGCTGCAGAGATTCCTGGGGCATCGCTTCCTGGGAGAAGGGGTCATCTGATTTTGATGCAATTGATGCAATTGATGCCTGTGACATCCTGTCGCCAAGGTACTACGCAGCAAGACCTCAGCAAGGATTTCATTTGAGCACTTCTGAGTACTTCTGAAGATTTTCTGAGCATTTCTGAGCACTTTGAGCTCAGTTGGATAGATGGGTGGAAAGGGACGGATGGATTGGCGCAATGCATGGGCTGACCAGATGCATTTTGTGACTGTCCAATTGTCAACCGGTTGCGAAGAGAAACACTGCAGGAAAATCAAATCCCTCCACCTAGAGCCTAATTGTGGTTTCACACTTGCACGCATTTAAGAGCCTGTGAGTTTGCTTTCCATTTCGGAATCCATTTAACTGTTGCCTATATCAAAAAACAAATACATTCAGTCGCTGACAACTTGGCCTGCAGAAGATATCCAGGATTTGTGAAGCTGTGCAGCTGTACAACGTTTGCTGGAACACTATTCTGCCTTCATTTGTTGGCCCAGAATGGATCAGTTTGCTGAGGCAAGCACAGTGTGTTTTTAGGTTGTTGAGACACACTAGCCTACTAGCCTTCTCTGTTGCGAGCAAAAAGAATTTCGGGGCCCAAAATTAAAGGCGGCAACTCACACGCATCTCCGAGTGGGATTTTTGCTTCAGAGGTGGCGGTCAAGCGCATTGGCGCAGCACATACCACCCATCATAAGAGTACGACCTGCATCCCAGAAGTGTTTGAGTGGCTTCTCAGGCCCGGGAATGCACGTCATCGCAGTATTCGTAGGTCGCTTCAGTGGAGAGTCTGCTGAAAGGACCTTGCCCCAAGTCCAGTGAAACAAAACGAAAGCTGAAGACCGAAGCTTCCTTCCACAGCAGTCGTTCTTGGGAGGTCCTTTCCAGGGTCAAGTAGTGGTGCCAAGTGAGGCTTGGGGCCAACAGCATGGCAGGTTCCAAAAATTGGCGGCATCGCATTTTGCATTCTCAACACCAGTGCTCGATGTGGAGACCAAGGTCCCGTTCCCCGGTTCACCACTCTTGAACCGATCCCTCAGGCTGGCACTCAATACTCCATGGGAGAACTGCTTCGCATGGTAGAGGATGAGGAGCGAAAAGGTGGAATTGACATGAATTGACTCATTTGACCTTGGAAGATGCGCATATCTACAGAAGTTCAGTAAATTTTGAGTCACGTTAGTTTTGCTTATTCTTGAGGCTCATTACTGTCTTCTCATCCCTTCCTGCCCGAGGGTTTCGTTTTTGAACCTGCAGGATGACATTGATCCTCAACAGCTCTGGATGCTTTCCACACACATGTTTTGTACTCAGCTCGGACGCACTCTGTATCGGTTGATAGCCTTTGTCCCAAGACAGAACGTGGGCTGTTGTGCAGACACTAGTTCAGGTTGCAAGGATTTTTCAGGAGCTGACTGGACAAGTCTTGCGGACAGCGTGATTTTTATTCAGCATAAGCAGAGCAAAATTGCCTTTCATTGCCCACACGTCCAAGACCTTCATGATAATATACTGTAGAAAAACTTACGGGTTGGTTCCGCAGTCACCCCTTGACTTCTTGCAAAGCAAAGGAAAAGTGAACGTGGTGGAGATTGGCACATGGCACGAGCAAGCAGCCCAGAACTACCGGTAGAGTTGGTAGATGTTGGTATAATGCTTTTCAGATCTTTTCAGTAGATGTTCGCAATGGGCAGTGTGTCATGATGCGAACATTTTCCGTCTTTTCATCTTCCGACTTGCATGAACTTCAGGTGGAAAACCTCACATGGCGGCTTCGGAACATGTGGAGCAAGAACGCCCAGGACTCTTGTTGATTGAATTCATATACATTCATATACATTCATATACAATATACTCTTGTAATCTCTTGTATACTCTTGTGCTACGTGGCCAGCAAGCCATTTCTTGGATTATCAACCCTCTCACCTGCTTTCAACTTTCACCTCTCCCTCTGCATGCATTGCGTTCAATCATGAGGATCATGTTCTGAAGGGGGAGACAATATTGGCGCTTGATGCAATGTAATTTAGACACGATGCAAGCTAGTAAGGCATAGGATACATCAACAAAATGCCAGGAGGCGAAAAAGGTTGGTGGAGCTCAGAAGTTGCTCCAGTTCCTCGACAAGCCACGGCCCTGAGTTCTATCAGCTTTTCGCTGACTTGCGGCTCACTTTTGACTCTTATTTCAGCGAGTAAGTGTTAGATGTGTTAGCAATCCAGGAGCCATCCAGAGCAATGAAGTTTTGATGTATATTCCCAGACCTTCATTGCAGGTCATCTGTGCCTTTGCACAATGTGGCAGAGGAAATGCGGGTGGAAGGCCGATTCATTCGGATTTGGCCTATTTGTTGGTTGTTAATGCAATCGCTTGGGGGTGACGGGGGTGATTGTTTTTCATGTGTTTTCAATTTTCAATGGGCCATTTCTCTTTGGACTAGCCGCCAGTTTTCGGGCACATAGGGCAGACTGATTGTGGACGAACGATCAGCTGCTTCAAATTGAGTGTCAGAGTGCAGGCCACCAACCTGGTCGACAGGGCTTGAAGGGCACGAAGCTTTTGGAGGTTGGGGATGTCGTAGACGTTGTCACATTCAGGAGGTAATTGGATGTGACGCCAATCCTGGAGCTTCATGTTTCAAGCTGTTTCACCTGTTGAAGTTCAATTCCTGTGGTGTCTAATGTCCTGCGTGAATTCACAACAAAACCTGAACACACTTGCCTGATACAATACTATATAGTACTTCTTTAATATTCTAAGAATTTCTTCTGGCCAGTGTCGTGTCTAGCTGGCGTTGTGTGTTCTGGATTGTGAACCACTGGTGTAGATTTGAGTTGGCATGCCTCAACGCTGGATCTTCGACCTTCAGTGGGCTCAAGATCTGTGGATTTGCGCATGCAGTTACTGAATTTTGGAACATTGCTCACACGGAACGTCGGCAATTGTAGGTATGAAGTCAGCTCTATGGGTCTTTGCTCAGTGACTGAACTCAGGAACGCGTAGCCAAGCATCATTCTGCCCTGCCACACTGTGTTGCTTGAAGAAGTTTGATTCTTTGCATTACGGTAAAAAGCGTGCTACTTTACCATTTTGTATGAGCTCTGATACACAAACCAAAGCACGTCCAAATCTGTGAATAACATGAACTCATCATAATCTGTATGTGAGTGTTTGTATTGACACATTCACACGAAGCGAATAATTCTCCAGCCTATCATATCTAGATAGTCACAGTCTTCTGAAATCATAGGCATCATGACATATCTGTGAGAAGCAAAGCTACCCGAAAAAGTCTTCAACCCTGGCAGCTCCACATTGCAACTAGAGCCATGAAGTTGGAGGTGTTGGAGGCCTTTTGTGTTGCATTTTGAGTTCGTGGACAAGCTTTCTCGGGATCGTGCATCGGTGGGTGCATCCTAAACTTCACTGATACCCTTCGACATCCTTCGACCCTCTTCGCTGATACCCGCTGCTGAAATCATGTCTTTTGTGTCAGGCGTAGTTTTGACCAGCACTCCTTGCTACATTCTCAGCCTGCGATGAACAGCGAGCGCCAGAAAGGTTGTGTTTTCCCCAATGTCGCAGCGGCGACGATTGCAAACTTTTGATTCTGGGAACAGGTGCATTTCAAAATTTTCAAAGCTGTTCAGCTTATCTCTGTGGCATGATACTTGAAAATGTGCAGCTCGTCCAGCCCTTTTGGCACGAAGATTCACTTAGTCGCCGCCATGTCGGGCGGTCGTGTGCTTAGTGATGGTCAAGCATCTCATACAGATTTGCCGATGCTTTGAGATCTACAAATTCACCAAGTTTACCCACAATTTGTCATCCTGGCAGTTCATTCCAATGCCAGCTGATTTGACCTTGAAGCCAGGAGACATCAGGATACGCCTAGATGGTATTCCAGATTCATACATCCTCACTGACAAGTCTCTTGGCAAAAAATGTATTTAATATTATTTAATTGATTTTGATTGTTTGTATTTGGGTGCTTCTTCGTGCATTCCTTTGTTGTTTTTGGGATGCTTCTTACTTCACTCTTGTATGTTGCAGTGACTTGGAATAACTTGCACTGAGATTTGCAGTGAGATGTGCAGGTGTGGTTTTCGAGACTCAGAGCTGGTAGACTTCTGCTGGGCTTTCCGCCTCTACGATGTCCTCGGAGACGCTAAGAAAAGGATTAGCTCGTGTCACATGTGTCTCCCACGATGCCATTTCAAGTTCTGAACGTACTTTGCGGCTGATCCAATCTGGTGCATGAACTCACAAGAGATGAAGATCAAAGTTGCTGCTCCTGAGGATGGTGTCATCGATGCCAGCCAAGTTAGATTAGCACTTAGCTGGTTGGGTGAGGAGCCATCAGACAAGGCGTAGCTCGGTGGAGCACTTTTTTTGACAGCCTGTCACATTTTATACGCTTTCTAGCAGGTTACCCGATTCTTTGGTTAGAATAGATTGTGGCTGTTTTATTCTTCTTTTGCACATTCTACTTTAAATTCGAGTCATGCCGAAGTAACTTCTGTGGTCGGGGGGACGCACTTCAGCACACCATGTAGAAGAGGACAGTATAAGACACTTTTATTTTGGGACACAATTGAAAAACATAATCCAATCTTCTGACAGCTGAGGTTCTTGACAGCCTCTTGTTTGCAACACAAACCCACACGCATCGATGTTTGCTCTACATACAATGAGACTGTACCAGAATTGCCTCTAACCGTCTCTAACCCTTGAATGTCACCGGACGGATTTCGACATTTGAAGACTGGACACCATGGCATGCCATGGCGCTTCTGAGGTTATGAATGACATTGACAGCCACGGCAAAGGCGTCATGGACTTTCAACGATCCTTGGCTGCACATGCTGCTGAGACAGCTGAATTGTGCTGGATGCCAACATGTTGTTTCACCCTTTCTTGCAGCAACTTTCTCCTTACTTCTTGTGACAACTGGTGAATTATTCTAGGGAAATATCCATTCGCTGCATTGCTCTCCCCCTGCCATTTCCACCTTGCCAAGGCTTCGTGAAGCTAATGGCGAAGCTTCTTGATTTTAGATCCGATGGGTCACAGGAGCTTCAAACCAACTTTGTTGTTTTCCCGAATGCAATTATGACAATTGTCAAACCTACATCACAATAATTCAATATTGGCTTGCACGAACTCAGGTTTGATCGCTCTATGATTACAGAAGATGAGCTGGTCAATGCTTTCAAGATCTTTGACAAGGTCTGCTTTGTTTGGATATCAAGTGAGGGGAGAGACTGCTCTTGTGCACAAGATAAATGCCAGAATATTTTGCTGCTTTCTTCAGCGTTCATCGTGGCTGAGTTTCTCGGTTGAAACCGCCCGTGACGTCGTGACATCGAGTCGCGAGGACAAGAGTGGCACGATTGATGCGATCGAGCTCCAGGATGTCCTTTGCAAGTTGGGCTTCTCTGTGAATCCCCTGCAGCGGCTCGAAGAAAAACACGAAAAACTTGGGACTCTGTGTAGGTGGATGGTGGAAGTGCCTGTCACCGATATTCCGATGTAATAAGATTAATAAGGTAGTAATACTATGTGATACTTGTAATTCAGGTTGAGGCTCTGCTGGGTGGTAGTTTGAATGTCAAGGACACAGGTTGAAAATTGTAGCACAATTTTCAAGTGAAAACTATCGATACATCACGAATTTACACCTTCAGAGATTGGCGAGTTGGAACCAGTCAAAACGGCTTGGACCTTGCCCAACGGGTGTCCGTATTCTAAGGGCTGAAGAGATGATCCAAGCAGCTGATGAAGACGGCAGTAGCGTGACTGAAAAATTGTGGGACGAAACAGACGAAACATGATACCGCAGAATACAACAGAAACATCCAGAAACAGAATGTCTTTTTCGTTGTGATGAGTCATCTGTCACCAATTTACCGATTTCGTGTCCCTGGTACCTTGCACGAGCCACATGGAGCTCATTGGAGGGTCGACTTGCCCCGCTCCTCAGGTGGTGAATGCGAGTATGGGGAGTTCGTGCGGAAAATCATTGATCTCTCCTCAGTCTCCTCAGTCTCCTCAGTACTCAGTACTTGTTCTTTGTGTCTCTGTGGCTTGTTAGTACTTCGTGAAATACTTCGCGTAGTTCTGGGTCTTTGCATTTGCGCCTCGCTGCTCCTTTACCTGGTCTTGAAACTCTGGGATCTGAGGAAAACCAATAACTGCATGAACTTCAGAGCTCGACCTTCCAGAAGTGCTGCTTGGCGGAGTCAGAGACTTGTTTCTAAACTCCTCTTAGAGAGTAAATATTGTCCAATTGCTTCCTCCAAATGGATTGAATGACTGGGTGATTTCGTCTTGGCAGCAATGTGCTCAGGTACTGCCCACTGCAGACAAGCTGCTTGTGACGTGACGAGCGCCAGCAACCGACCGAACTGTTGATGTCTTTCCAGCAACAATGACAATGCAATGACAATGAGACCGATTTTCTACTTTTCAACATCTGCTGCTGGCGTCACAACACCTTTTAATAGCGTCATAGAGTTTCCCATTTTGGGCATTGCGCAGTTTCTGTGACTAGGTAAAGTGACTGTTGGTATGAAGAGCTCATTTCCTTGAATCCTACAAAATCGTTCAGTCAAAGCGTTTGACTTTTCTCAATCCTCCTGCTCATCCTTATAGATTTTTTGAATGCATTCCATTCATAGAATGCTCCCCTCCATTATCCCCTGAACTCTTGGATTGAAGTCTCACTATCCATTCCTGGAATTCAGCCAGCAACCTGCCTTTAATGTGTTTGGTGCGCTGACGGATGTCTCACCCAAAGCGTTTCATCAAAGGAAAAGACGGCAGGAAGATACTTGTGATTCAACGCGGTTCCTGAGTTGATCGAAATTGATGCTGCTTCAGAACATAAAGGTCTTATAACTTATAAGGTGTTTCAGTTCCTGAAGCTGCTCATAGCTGCTCTACACCCAGGCCGACCAAGACAAAGTGATTGTGAACATTCTCAAGGCCACTGTACTTTTGGGCCGATGTTTGCATGACAGCCTGCTCAGCCCAAGCGTTCGGTTGACCTGCCTTAGTCAAGTACATCGTGGAGTCGTGGAGTATTTCTTTGTCTTATTTCCAATCTGAAAATCTAATAAAATCTATGTTTCGCTGCCGGCCGCACAAGGCTACTGGTTCTGAGATGCGGGTAGCTTTGAGCTTTGTAGCATTTCTTGAATTTGGATGGACCATGCGCCAAGCAGAAGCAAAAAGTGCGCTCAACAGTGGCCAAATGTACACATCAATGCCGACATGGAACATGGTTGCGGTTCGCTGTTAGGTGTCAGAGTTTGGCACTGGCGACTTCTGTCCAGGGTCTCGGATTGGAGTTTGGACACAACTGAAGACATTTTGAGATGCTAGTTCATGAACCTCACATACCTTTCAACACAAAAATGTGTCTTCTCAAACGATTGCTTAAGGCTTATGCATTTCCAAACCAATTCGTTCGATCCTGTTGTCGACATTCAAGCAGCTTCGAAACCACTTTGACGGTCGTTTTGCCCCAGGATTCATTACCATTTGTATTGGATTTGTGACCATGGAAAATTCCTTTCTGTATCGACGACTGAGTATGAGTGAAATGCACATACTTCCCCCAAGGCACGCCGAGCTTGGACGTTTGCTTCCGCAAGGAGCGAAACCCGCGATTCAAAACCCAATGAGCGGAAAACAAAACATGCTGGGGACGCTGCCAAGTCAAAAAGAGGAGCTGTTATTCCCTGCTAGGCATGAACTGATTTTTGCTTTTGAAATCTTGTACAAAGATCCTTTCACAGGATGGATCTCGCTTGTTGCCACTTGTGCCCGATTCTCAAACTCTTTAAAGCCTAGAGTCTAGAGACAGAAGTGAACAGTGGCCTGCCTCTCATACAACAGGTAGATTCTGTGGGATGGAGTTGTTTTTTAGCCTTAGGTGCACAGATGTACCCTTGACAAGCAAGTTGTGGATTTGGTGCACTTCGGTTTGGAATCACCGTCAAGTCTTCTTCTTTCCCTCGGCCAAGGTACAAGCATCACAGGCACATTCGCAGCCGGTTGATGTCACATGTTCACACAGAATCACAGAGCAAGCGGAAAGGGCTTTGCACATCTTTGCACATCTTTGCACATCTTTGCACATCTTTGCACTATGTTTTTTCATGTTTTTTCTTGTAAGCAGATGCAAGCAGTACTGAATGCAAACGCGTTCTTCCAGGGTTACCCCGGTTACCCGTGCCAGGATCATCAACGGCATTTTGCCGTCCAGCTCCGGGTTGCCAGTGCTGGGCAAATATCACTCCGAGGCTGGAGAGATGCAGAAAGCTCAGCAGACGACATCATACGACATCAATTGATCAAATTTGATCAAATATCATCTGAATCATCTGATCTTAACCGATCTCAATTGAGATCCACAAGATTCTGCAGAGTCTCTTATTGGAGAAGATCTCAGTGATCGTTTTACCCTTTGCAGTGCAGGGAGCTAAGACCTTGGTGGTGGTTGGCAGCCCCAGCATTGACCATCCGTCAGCATGCTGTAACTGAGTGAAATGATTCAAACAGGAAAATGGGGAACACAGCACAAAGCAAAACCTCTTGCACTCCTTCTTTCTGTACCGGATACGTGAACGCGTTTGTCTACTATTGTCATGCCCTTGTAGCTATTTATTCCGACTGTTGCTGATGAGGACATGGTTGACACCTACACTGAAGTCAAGGCGGCTTGTAAATGAGTGGCTCAACAATGGCTGCATCGCTGTATGCATTGGATGCCGCCTTGGTGTTTGCATGGCTGTTTCTATTTTTCTGGTGAGGTTCAGCTGATTTATACAATTTTCCCTTCAATTTCAGCAGTCAGCCGACGGATGGTCAGGCGCTCATGCTAATATCAGCTAGTCCATATCCCGTGAGAAGATCACGATCCAACCTTTTGCTGGTCAATACATGTCAAGACTATATAGTCTAGTCGTGTGATGACCGGAAGCTTAAATATACAAGCTTACACATACACATCATATGACGATTATTGTGTTATACGCACTAAAACAGTAGTCTCTGCGGTTTTTCGTGTTGTCCTGCATAGGAACACAGCTAAGGTCGTAAAGAACAGCTCCAAAGTTGGCCTGGGAGATGTGGACTTGATGAAGTGCATGTACGGTAGCTCAGTGACCTAAGCGTCCCTTGTCCAAGTACCACACGAAAGAGTTCTTGCATGTTCTGCCCATTTTATAATATTTTATCTGTTGATTTCATGTGTGGCACTGCTTTTCAAGTCAGCATCTTGGAACGCTTAGAAACAGTTGCATTGCCGCTATTTGTTGGACAAAAAGTCTTGATAGTTCTTTTCTAAAAGCTGTCCAATTCTATGAATTTCTTCTCATGGTCGTGCATGGTTTGTTCCATCATCAATTCATGCGGGGTTGTTGAGGTCTGCCACGTTTGATTTCAGCACCGATGACTGGCATATGCTCTCCCTACATGGTGGCTGGGCCAATGAGCGGCACATCAACACCCGAAGGCCAGCCACAGAATGAAGATGCAAAACAGTTTGACCAGTTTGAACCGCTTTCTTACGATGCTCCATAATTCTTCTGTGATTCGTCCCCTGGCACAAGAGTTTGCAAAAGAATACACCACTGCCAGAGACTGCCATTTTGCTATTTGCTCAAGCCACCAAGTCCTCCAAGCCCTGCGACACTGTCCCGCCTTTTAGGATGGCTTTGCCTATGAAGTCGGTTATGAAGTCAGCCATGAAAGCGATGAAATCGATGAAAGCCATGAAATCACCTGCGATGAAGGCCAAGGCGATGAAAAAGAAACGTGTGAGCAAAGTGGCACGAGGCAAGCGGGCAAAGGTGGCAGTTTTCAAAGGCAACAAAGAGAAGACTGCATCTGGACATGCGAAGGCAGACCTCATGGTCAGCAAAACTGGCAAGGTTGTGAGTAAGAAATCCCATGCAGCTGGCAAGAGAGCCTACAAGAACATCGCAGCATGGACAAAGGCATGCCAGGCTGCAAGGACGGAGCTTGGAATCAAGGGCTTTTGCGCTGTGAACGGCAAGACGGCTCAGGGCAAGGCTTTCTATGCCAAAGCAAAAGCAATCTTCGCTTCTGTGTGATGTGCTGATGAGGGAACCTGCTTTCGTGGTCATTCATGGAGCAGGAAACCTGTCCGTTGTGGTCCCAAAATTTTGTTGGTGCATTGTACAGATTGACTCAGTCTATCATGCCCCGTGCTAACCTTCGAACAACTGACATTGGCTGTGAAGATTATGAAGAGTAAACAGGCAGCAGTCCGAGCAGTCCGAGCAGTCCGATCAGTCCGATCAGTCCAACCAACAAGCATTGCTGTCAACACAGATCATCTGGGGGAATCCTCCGGGGGCCCCCAGGAATCCTGATTTGGATCTTTCCGGTCGGCACCAGAGATATGTGTGATTCCTTGGTGTCCTTGTCAGGATACAAGAAGGCATGATCCACTTGGGCAGCAATCGTGGAGTTTCTTCACACCAGATGAACCCTTTCTGCGCGCCTTGGATACATTTGTGCAATTTTGTGCATTTGTGTATAGTCTCTGCCAACATGTTTGATTCTTATTGATGGGCTGTGTGTCTTGATGATTCGTTCCTGGGCACCGAACAAACTGATGGCTGAGTTCGCTTTCTAACTCGTAGTTGTCCTCAGTTTCTAAAGTCAGAAGTAATCAACTTTGGCAGCAGTTTACAAAGAATCCTTCGTGGTCTGAGGTCTTGTCTTCTGGTCCTCCAGCAGAAGACCATGGGTCATACACTTGGGATTTGTCTCATTGAAATTGTTTTTATGATTTCAATGATCCCAAAGTCTTTCATTTTACCACGTTGTTGAGAAGCTTCACTGGAAAGGCACTGCTATGGTTTTTGCTTGCTCTACTCGGGCAACTGGCTTATGGAGGTGTGAATTTAACTCGAGTCTATTAGTCCATTGTCTTCTTGAACGCAGTCTGGGCTCTGTGCTTTGCAGAGCAGAAACAACGCATGCTTTTGGTAGCCAAACTGCTTGATCGGCATTGTTTTTACTTCGATTGATCACCAGTGAAACATATCGCAGCTTAGGGCACAGTGTGCTTCAGAAGGCTTTGCAAGGCTGAAGGTTTTGCGATATCAGCAGGTCGAGCACAGCCAGACAGGGTGTGTGCGCGTCAATGTTGGTAGGGGTCTGAGAGCGGAAAAGACATGGAAAGGCAAATTGAACCATGATGCCAGCTGGTGATGCCACTTCTGGTGATGCACCTGCCTTGTGTCTTTCTATTTCGTTTTTGTCTACTTTGGTTGTTGGCTGTGACCGACGCAGCCGCACTCAGGGCTTAGCAATACACACTTCAGCTGGCATTTGGGTTCGGGTCCAAGTGTCGCAGGCCTGCAAAGTAGATAAAAACTGTTCAGTTACAGCGTGGCAATGCATGGCAGATGAGTCTCAGTGATTCTGAGGAAGTCAGGAGAGCTTCGAGACTCCTGAGTGCGTTTGTGTCTTCTCAGATTCAGGCACTTTAACTTGATCCAGTACCTCAGTACATCTCACCTTGAAGCTGCCTTGGACAAAACTCCTCCACAATTCTCTTGGAGTCTCCTGTGAAACGACAATGTGCTCTCCCAAATTTTGCACCATTCTGAGCAGGAGTGACTGACAACGCTTGACCAATTTGGCCAGTGTCATCTGCTAGGCCTTGGGAAGATGACGCAGACTTTCCAGCGCCTCATTGGGGAGAGGCCTAGCATAGCCCAGTCGTTGAAGTGAACTTGTCTACTTTGTGTGCATTCTTATCAAGAAACCATGTATCATTCTTATATTATCAATTATATCATTCTTTACTATGCTTTACTTCGGGAAGTGAGGAAGGAATTCCAGACAGCTTGCTTGCTCTGTATGTTTGAGGGAGAAGCTTTCAGAACAGAGAGTAGTCAAATCCTTGCAGTCTCAACGTTAACGATTCCAGGCTCATTGCGCCTCGCTGGCAAAATCTCATCTGTCCTGTCCTCATCAACACTTGGGAAGCGATGTACTTCGAGGCACGAAACTCAGCTGGAATGGTGCTGCCCGTGCTTGGCTTCCACTTGAGCTGAAGGGAACAAGAGATTCCGTTCACAGTCTCCAGAAACAAACCACAACCGAAATGCTGCCCAAAGCATCCCAAAGCCAAGTTTGCCAAGTTTGCCAAGGTCTATCACGATAAGATTATCCAATTCGCCAGGGCCTTTGGTCGAGCCCTGCACCCTACTTGAAGTACTTAGACTTGACGGATGCAAGGCTTTGCAAGGCTTTGCAAGGCTCAATGAAATGAGATGTTTTTTAAATGTTTTTTACATGTGATGACGATCTGCTGATGAGTAGATCCACTAGGCGAAGCCTGCGATTGAAGCTGGGGTTGAACTGCTCGTGCTGGACGATGGATGGTTTGGCAAGCGAGATGATGCCAGCAGCTCAGCGCAAGATCGGAGCCTTGAATATTTCTAGACCATTTACAAATTTACAGGTCAGTAAAGCTGCCCACGTCGCCACGTGTAGTTGGAAGAACCTCACATGTCTGTCACCTGCTGGGGCCCCACTTGGCACACTTGCCACACTTGCCACTCATTTTGCCAAGGACACAACATCGTTGGGCCAACAGCCAAGAGCATGTACAAGAGTCAATGATTTGATCCCATGGAACATTTGATTTCTTGAATGAGCCGCAGCAAAAACAAGCATTTGCAAATCATGTGCGAAATTATTTCATAAAGCTTTCATGAAGCTTTCAAGCTGCTAGCCCTCAAGAGTTTGAATATGTTTCAAATTGTTTCAATATGTTTCAATGCTGGCCTGTTTCTTTATGCTATCCCTTCGGTATCCCTTCGGTCTTCCTTCGTGTGGATTCCCAGCTTGAACTCCGCCAAGGCGATTGGGTGCCAGATCCCCGAAAGCTTCCGCGAGGCGCGTCGTGTGCAGGATCTAATCGGATGATTCCAATGATGCATCATATATATATATAAGTATTTTATAGTATTTTATAGTATTTTTATAGTATTTTGTGGTGTATCGGATTAGTATGCGACTCTGCAACGCCCATCAAGTCCCTTTGAGTCCCTTTGCTCTTACATGGCATCTACGTGGCATCTTACCTGGAATGTTCCCCACAGCTGAGGTTTGAAGGGTTTGGCAGAGGCAGGCTATTGGCAGCTATATGCAGCTATTGAATATTCCCAGCAGAAGACTCTGTATTTAAAAAAAGCAGAAGAACGGTGTTCCTGTGTGTTTCTTTCGGTTCCAGTTCTTCGAGTTCAAATGACAGGATCTCAATGCTATGGGCTTGAAGCTTGGACTTTGGGTAGAGCCTGAGATGGTGAACCAGGACAGGGAAGGACATGTCATGAAGAATAGGCACACAGCTCATTTGTTTGCATATTCTGATTATGGTCTCTCTGACCCACACTTGACGACTTGACAGGATAGTCAGCTCTACAAGCAACATCCAGAATGGGCGAGGAGCCATAAGATTTTCGCGCTGTACCTTCTTGTGTCAAATGATGTGTCAAACGATGCGTTGTTTTTACACTGGTTAGTCTTTCACTTCGACGGTTTTTGCTGTGCTTTGTACCACCGCACTTGTTGTTTGTGGCATGTTTATTGACAGCTGAGTGCTTTAGAATCGTCAAACTACATCTTTGTTTGTGCGTCGCCTGGTGTTCTGTGCTTCGCCAAGGTCCTACATCATCCTGCACGGTTGCGATCGGAGGGCAGGAGCAGATCTCCTTGACAGTGTTGAAGTGTGGAAGTGGACGTCATCTCAACAACTCTCAACAAAACAGAAAGTTGGTCATTTTTGCCACTTTAACACCCCTTGGGCAGCAGGGTTTGATGTTGTTTGTGAATTGTTTAGCGACATCTACACTTGTAAACTGGTGAAGCGGTGTAATTATGAGTCAAACGGCTCCTATCTAAATCTGGGAGAATCTGGGTACTGCTTCCTTGAACGATTCAGTGTAAGCAGCCTTTGGAGATTCACTGCACCTTCCACATCATGCTTGAAGAATCTTGAAGAGGAACCAGCTGGTTCTGGATCTTACACGTGAAGAAGTACAGGACACTGGACACTGAGAGTTATTGAATTTAATGAGCGGGGATTCTCTCGATTTTGATGCTTTCCTGGTACGAGCGAGGTCTACTGTTTTTTTTTTGGATTTGCCTGTGCTGGTGCAAGCGAGCTTGACAGCTTTCAGTCAAAGATATGAAACTTAACTTGTCGTCTCTGTCTACAAAGAGCGGTCAACGTCTTGTCGTGGCTGAGTAGAAGATCTCCTTCCCTTTGTTGAAACCTCCCAGGACTACATCATCGATGCTGTTAGTCAGGTGACTGGCTAAGCACTTGATGGGCAAACAAGAACATTCAAAGCAACCTGTTGGATGTGGTTTTGGTGGATGCATTCCCGGAGAAAGGAGTGCAACAAGCGGTTGAACGACGCAAAACAGCTTCAATTGAACCGTTCGAGCTAGATTTTGACGACATACATGAGGATGACGGATTGCAAGCTGTGTGTAGGATGCGTTTTGTTAGTGTTGTTGCTGATTCTTTGAGCTGTGTGGACCATTGTGGACCCATGTCCTGGGAAGCCGGGAAACTCCTGGAAACAGCATCTTGCTTCATTTGGCCATGTTCGACTGAGGTTCTGAATTCTGCCAACATCGAGTACATCAAGTGACTTGGCATTGGACAGGAAGCGCAACATGTTGGGCCGAAAGACTAGAACTGAGAGCAACTGAAAAAACACATGTTACACACAAGGGTTCAAGTACCGAGCATCGAGATGGAGCATCAACTAATAGCGAATCCAAAGCAAATCCATTCCATCCATTCCCATGGGGCCATGCCATGGGACCCTGAGATGCAGATGGGGCCTGTGTGGGACGTTCGTAGGTGGGACATGAATCGCGCTCTTACTGATGCCTTCTCTGCGGCTTTGCCGTCGGATACCTAGGTTGTCTTGAGTTGTCTTGCTACTTGTCTTGCTACTTGTCTTGCTACTTGTCTTGCTAGTTGTCTTGCTGGTGCCTGAAATGCCTTGGACGAACTTTTTGTACAATTTCGACAATTTTTTCTTTGCCTTTTTAACTCTTCAAATGTCAGTGTGTCTTGAAACATGACAACCTTGAAAGGCCCCGACAGCAAGGAGAGGTGCCGTATCTGATCACATTCAAAGCTGATGCATTTTTCCTTCCTCTGGCCTCTGATTCAAACCTTCTTCAGAGTTTGCTTGTATGTGTTTCCGACTTGATGCTTCGTGGGGCACTTGCGAACCAAGAATGGGTGAGACAGCAAAATAATATATGTTCATCAGCCAATTGTGCTCAGATCTCTGCATTCATGCAAGGATTCATATCCATGTTCATTAAATGTTCTTTACGTATTAATAATCAATAATATATATAATCAATAATATATATATATATAAATGATATAATTAAAGGGCTGCCGCCCCCTGCCGCCGACCCCAGTGCAGTGAAAGGAACGATCCATTGGTGGTACCCTCATACGTGGTATGGAATGGTGTGGAATGGAATGGCATGGAATGGTACGGTATGGTATGTATGTTTCTTCTGTGTTTAACGTACATATTGTCAAATGACACACAACCACACAACTTTAAATAACAAACATAATACGCACTAGGCACACGCCCTACCTAATTTAATATAGAATGACATAGTATAACGCAATATGACATAACGTAATACGATACGACGTGATACAATACAATAAAATATAACAGAGCAAACTATTGTCTGATATGATGTGATATGATATGGTATGAGATGATATCAGACACGTTATCTAAACAGAATATAGATGATATTGACGACATGAATATTTACAAAATGCGTTTGGAGACACCTCGCCTAGGCCCTTGCAGACGACTGATGTAGTGCGTGTAGGCAATGAATGTATGGTCACCCAAAGCCTGATCTTTTTGGACGTTTTTGTAAGAAAAATGCGCCAGTGAGCGCAAGTGGACTTGAGTTGATGTAACGAGTCGCAACCCAGTGTAACAATTTGTACTTTGATTGTGGCACAGGCAAGAACCCAACGTGAATGAGTTAGGACATGTTGGTACTACAAGGTCTCAAACAAACAAGAGTGATCCAAGTAGATTCGATTCATGACTAAACTACTGCAAACAGATGTATACAAAGAATTTTCATAGTGTTTCATTCAGAGAATGTTTCCGGGAGAAGGGTGGGTATGAGTAAAGTGGATCAGCTGTCTTTAAGGCCACAACGGCAGACACGCTTTCCCGTAGTTTCAAGGCTCAAGTGCATCTTCAGCGATGCAGGTGGGCCACACCATCTTTCGCCTTCCGTGCTGGCGTAAAATGCACGCGGCCTTCCGTGCTGGCGGTAAATGCACGCGGCCTACCGTGCGGGCGGTACATGCACGAGGTGCCGAAAGGCACTTAGCGGGTATAGCCCGTGCCCTTCTGGGCGAGCCCTTCGGGGCGGATTTTTCTGGCGATGTTGCTGTTGTTGCTGTTGCTGTTGCTGTTGCTGTTGCTGTTGTTGTTGTTGTTGTTGTTGTTGTTGTTGTTGTTGTTGTTGTTGTTGTTGGTGTTGGTGTTGGTGTTGTTGTTGCTGCTGCTGCTGCCACTGCTGCCGCTGCTGCCACTGCTGTTGCTAGCGGTAGTAGTAGTAGTGGTGGTGGTGGTGGTGGCGGCGGTGGTGATGGTGGTGGTGGTGGTGGTGGCGGTGGTGTTTGTGATGTTGGTGGTCGTGTTGGTGTTGGTGTCGGTGTGGGCGTCCGTGTCGGTGTCCGCATCGGTGTCCCCGTCGGCGTCGGCGGCGGCGGCGTCGTGTTTGTGTTTGTGTTCGTGGTTGTTGTTGTTGCTGCTGTTGTTGTTGTTGTTGTTGTCGTCGTTGTCGTTGTTGTTGTGGTGGTTGTTGTCGTTGTCGTTGTCGTTGTCGTTGTGGTTGTGGTTGTGGTTGGGGTTGGGGTTGTGGTTGTGGTTGTTGTGGTTGTTGTTGTTGTTGTTCTTGTTGGTGTTGGTGTTGGTGTTGCTGTTGGTGTTGCTGTTGCTGTTGCTGTTGGTGTTGGTGTTGTTGTGGTTGTGGTTGTGGTTGTGGTTGTGGTTGTTGTGGTTGTTGTGGTTGTTGTGGTTGTTGTGGTTGTTGTTGTTGTTGTTGTTGTTGTTGTGGTTGTGGTTGTGGTTGTTGTTGTTGTTGTTGTTGTTGTCGTCGTAGTTGTTGTCGTTGTTGTTGTTGCTGCTGTTGTTATTGTTGTTATCGTAGCTGCTGTTGCTCTTGCTGTTGCTGTCGTTGTTGCTGTTGTTGTTGTTGTTGTTGTTGTCCTGGTTGTGGTTGTGGTTGTGGTTGTGGTTGGGGTTGTGGTTGTGGTTGTTGTTGTTGTCGTTGTCGTTGTCGTTGTCGTTGTTGTTGTTGTCGTTGTCGTTGTCGTTGTTGTTGTGGTGGTTGTTGTCGTTGTCGTTGTC